CCCTCTTCCCCCTCCTTCTCCTCCTCCTCCTCTTTCTTCTTCTTGAGTTAGAATCTTACTCTGTTGCCCTGGCTGGAGTGCAGCAGCATGATCATGGTACACCACAGCCTCAATCTCCTGAGCTCAGCCGATCCTTCTGCCTCAGCCTCCCAAGTAGCTGAAACTACAGGCATGTGCCACCTTGCCCAGCTAATTTTTTTTATTTTTCATAGGGACGAGGTTTCACTATGTTCCTCAGGCTGGTTTCGAACTCCTGGGCTCAAGCAATTCTCATGCCTCGGCCTCCCAAAGTGCTGGCATTACAGGTGTGAGCACCCGTACCTGGCTCCACTTTTCTGTAATTCTTTTTTTTTTTTTTTTTTTTTTGAGTTGGAGTCTCACTCTGTCACCCAGACTGGAGTGCAGTGGCCGCTCCCGGCCACTGCAGCCTCCACCTGCTGGGCTCCAGCGATCCTTCCGCCTCAGCCTTCCAAGTAGCTGGAATTACAGTCGCATGCTACCATGCCTGGCTAATTTCTGGTTTATTGTAGAGATGAGGTCTTGCCAAGTTGCCCAGGTGGGTCTCGAACCCGCGGGCTCAGGCAATCCACAAACCTCAGCCTCCCAAAGTTTGGGATTACAGCCATGCTGAACCACCAAGCCCGGCTCACTTTATCTAATCTTAGCTCTAAGCAGAGTTGATGGCAAACACACTGAACATAGGTACAAAAGTGCTACATTTCTTATCAGGCCTGAGGCTACCTTGCCAAATGACTTGCCAAACCCCGCCTTACCCTCTTGGAGAAGGGTAGTGTTGCCATCTGGAAGCCTGGGTAGTGCTGGGTTTGTTAGGCAGTGGTTTCTGTGCAGTTGCTGGTAGCTGTACTGACTCAGATAACAGTTCATTCATCAGACTGTATGCTTGTGAGATTCGACGACCATAGTGTTCAGAGAGCAGCAATCTTTAAACAAATAATTAAACATCACTTACTAAAACAGTCATTTTCAGTTCATATATCTAGAGGGAACACAGCATTTGAAGACCACAGTATTTGCTTTTTTCAGTGCTTAAAAATCCTTCTGTTCATCAGATTTCTGAAAATGATTAGGCAGTATTATTAAAGTTACTTGTAACCATGGCCTTTGGGGTATTTCTCATATACAAGTACATATCTGAGTTGCAAAAGGGAAGAGAACAGCAGAAATAAAATTCATAAAAATGGAATTAAACGAATAATATTTGAAAGCAAATTACAAAAAAAGCTAGTCTCATTTTCCTTGCAAGTAGTATCTCTTGCAATTTTCTGTTTACTGACAAAAAAGAGACTATTGTGAACACCAGGTCTTATCTATACCTAGGGTTAGCAACCTAGAGAGAATGCTCAGGGTACAGCTACCAAACTCACCTGTCTTTTTCATGCTTCATTTTTTGTCTCAGTCTGATTTCCCTTGAAGTCATATAAAACTGCACAAGAAATATCCAGTTAATTATTGTTCAATCTAAATAAATTAAACCATTAGACATAATTCTGCTATTTAGGAAACAAAACACTATCATATTTGACGAAGCTTCCTACCCTAGCACAAAAACTAAAAATGTTTAATTACAACCAAGAATAAGGCACACAGGCCAGGGTTCACTAATAGGATTGCAAGCTGGTGCCTGGCTTCCCTGCCGCTACTGTCGCTGCTCATGCTGCTGTGTCCGCCCGAGCCCCCGCCAGCCATCGCCCAGAGCCAGCGCACCAGGGTCGAAGGGGCAGCGATGATTCGAATCTTTCCGGACTTGGGCGTGAAGGTGACTGCCGTGGCGACTGGCAGAAGGGCCATGGGGGTGCCGGCCTGCACAGGCACGGGGAGGGCCGGTGTCGCAGCCAATGGCACCCCGCAGAATGTCCAGGCATCACCTCCTACCAGCAGCGGCTGGAATGAAGCTGCATGCTCACGGCCACCCCAGTGTCGACCTGCTGGACACCAGTGATCCTTCCACCTCAGGCTTCCAAGTAGCAGAAACCAAAGAATAACTGCCCAGCATCCTCTGCCCAACCAATCAGAATGTAGGAAAATCTACAGATATGATGGAATCTACTATGAATCTACCTTCCAGAAGTAGGTTGAAATCTTTGTGGGTCTTCCTTCTGGCTCGTGCATCAGTGCTTGTGGTTGCCAACTATTCAAAATTATCTTTGTTTTGAAACCTTATTTTTATCTAATTTAACAGGAAGGGGAAAAAACCAAACCGAACAAAAACAACCAAAACAATTTGCCTCTGAAATCAAGACAGAAAAAAAATGTTTATTTTTTGAAATTGTGGTCTAAAAGTTTTTGGGTTTTTTTTGAGTTGGAGTCTCACTGTCACTTAGGCGAGGTGCCTGCTGGGCTCCGCTCCCGGCCACTGCAACCTCGACCTGCTGGGCTCCGGCAATCCCTCCGCTTCAGTCTTCCAAGTAGCTGGAACTACAGGTGCACGCTACCACACCCGGCTAATTTTTTTTTATTTATTGTAGAGATGAGGTCTCGCCAAGTTGCCCAGGCGGATCTTGAACCCGCGGGCTCAGACAATCCACTCACCTCAGCATCCCAAAGCGCAGAATTACAGGCTGAGCCACTGAGCCCGGCTAAAAGTTTTTTTAAATGACTGTATTAAAGCTCTTAGGTAAGCTTCTTTATACTGCAATACACAAGTACTTATATGCAACAACAACAAAAAAACCAAGAATAAAATAAAGTCAAATCTAATTTAATAAATGAAATGTAAAATCTACCTTACTAGTTGATTTAATATACTTTCTTTTTTAAAAAAAATATTTTCCCAAAGGAGAAAACTTCATAGTTGAACTTAAAATAGAAAGTAGGAACATTTTAGAGATGGAAACACCTATACTTTGTACTCAATCTTGTGATTAATTTCACCAAGAGTTTTGCTAATAAAGCAGAAATGGGTCAAACATTTAAAATAATCATTTTGCTGTTTACCAGAAATGTACTGTAGCGAATTGACTGTGACTTGTAAATTTTTCAAAATTTATACATCAGAAGGCAAACAACAAATGTCAGATATATATGTCTTATTCCAGAACATTAAGAATTATTGTTGGGAGTTACATGTGAGGTTAAGTCTTTTCATAATTATGTATATAAAAACAGGCACTCAGAAGTAAATTCACTTTTTCAAGGTCCTATGAAGAAGTAGTTAGTAACAAATTAAAGGTTTTGTTGATTTCTGACAGAAATTCAAATGAAATTTTTAATATATTAACCTCCCATTAATTCCATCCCTTTACTCAATCAGAAGTTAAAAACAAGGAAACAGCCAGGTGCAATGGCTCATGCCTGTAATCCCAGCACTTTGGAAGGCAGAGGCGAGAGGATTGCCCAAGCCCAAGGGTTTGAGACCAGGCTGGGCAACACGGCGAGACCTCATCTCTACAATAAATCAAAAATTAGCTGGGCATGGTGGCGCATGCCTATAGTTCCAGCTACTTGGAAGGCTGAGGTGGAAAGATTGCCTGAGCCCAGCAGATCGAGGTTGCGGTGGCCGTGATCCCGTCCCTGCGCTCCAGCTTGGGCAACAGAGTAAGACTCTGACTAAAAACATAAAAAATAAAAATAAACAAGTGTTTGCAATCTTGAAGGAGATGTCATAAAGTCTATGATCCAAACAGTTCTTATGCCCTCAAAGTTAAATCATTCTAAATTTGGACACAATTCAAACCACCGTGGGTATTTACTTCACTGATGGGGAAGGTGGATATCAGAATCCATCATGGGGAAGGGAAACACACATACACACGCACACATATACACTCCTCTCATGTACTTTTAAGATTCTGGTCATGTACTTTGTGTGGTACTGAAGGTCACTACCATGTCTCCAGAGCTTTCAAGAAAATGTGATATTAACACCAATATGCTCTTTTCAGAGACAGGCAAGTAAATTATACACTTTAAATAACAGTTCACCTACTTTTGCACCGTTTGGTGTTTAAATGGAATAATATTATCTGAAAAATTCACTTAAAGAATTTGTTCTCCTAATGATGCTGAAAAAATGAAGTGCTATTATGTTTTATTTCAGATTACAAAGTAAAGGATAAACCATAATATAATTATAATCTAAATGCAATTTTCACAATAATATGATAATCATAGTAATATTGCTTTGTTTCACTATCTGAAGAAATATACTCTTGACCTAGTCATGGTGATGTCCATATCAAGGGCATGATAAATAAATGATGACAATTTAAAGGGAAGTTTAAAGGAACACAAAAACCACACACACAATACAGAATTGGCACTGTTCTGTTGCTACATCATTTGGACCATATATTTTAAAAAGTATTTGCAGATAACTTACAGATAGAAAAGAAAGTATTAAAAATGGCTGTAATACTATACAGTTGGTTGTTTCACATGGAATTGATGCTCACTGAAAATTAAAGGAACAACTCCGATTGGTCACCCAACTACTCATCCTCCTCATTGTATTAAAATACTAAAGCCACATCTTTAAAATAAAAATTTTAAAGTTAAAAAACAAGTACAAAAAAATGCTAAAGCCATAATTAGCCTGGGGGAGAAATAAATATTTAAGATAGTTCAGTAGAATTTGGTTAGCATAATATCCTACTACATTTTAAAGTAATCTCTTAAATTTTCATGATTTAATTAAAATGTTGGCCGGGCTCAGTGGCTCAGCCTGTAATCCCAGCACTTTGGGAGGCCGAGGTGAGTGGATTGCCTGAGCCCGCGGGTTCGAGACCAGCCAGGGCAACTTGGCGAGATCCTGTCTCTACAATAAAATAAAAATAGCTGGGCATGGTAGCATGCGCCTGTGGTTCCAGCTACTTGCAAGGCTGAGATGGAAGGACTGCTGGAGCCCAGAAGGTCTACGATAAAATAAAAATAGCTGGGCATGGTAGCATGTGTCTGTAGTTCTGGCTACTTGCAAGGCTGAGACGGAAGGATTGCTGGAGCCCAGAAGGTCGATGCTGGAGTGGCTGTGAGTGTGTGTGCCACTGCACTCCAGCCTGGGTGAAGGAGTGAGACTCCATCTCAAAAAAATATAAATAAAATAATTAAAATGCTGACTTTTCTATCTGCCAAGTAAAAAATGCATTCAAATTATGTTAATTCTTTTTTTCTTTTTTTTTTTTTTGAGTTGGAGTCTCACTCTGTCGCCCAGACTGGAGTGCAGTGGCCGCCTGCGGCCACTGCAGCCTCAACCTGCTGGGCTCCGGCAATCCTTCTGCCTCAGCCTTCCAAGTAGCTGGAATTACAGGCATGCGCTACCACACCCGGCTAAATTTTTTGATTTATTGTAGAGATGAGGTCTTGCCAAGTTGCCCAGGCGGGTCACGAACCCGTGGGCTCAGGCAATCCACTCACCTCAGCCTCCCAAAGCGCGGGATTACAGGCTGAGCCACCAAGCCCAGCCTATGTTAATTCTTTTCTTGAATATTTGCCAGAAAAAACTACACGTATTCTGTGATAATTCTACTATCTTTGAAACTGCAGACTTACTGGATTGCTTCTGGGACAGAAAGGGTCATGTTCTTGTCCTCTCTTTTCTGCCAGCTGATTTAGATACTCTGCCATTCTTTCTTTTCTCTTTCTTTTCATCCAGACTCGAATCTCTTTTCTTTCCTTCTCAGTTCTTTGTGGATGTCGGCCACAAGAATGCTGAATTCTGAGAAATTTAACAAGCAAGACAACATATGCTTTTATATTTATTATGCAGATAGGATGTAGCATGACTAATTACTACTTATTAGGAAAGATTTTGCTCCATCTTGAAAAGCCCTATAGACTTATCTCTAGTCAATTTAACTCCAATCTGTTCCCTGAAATCCACTGAAAATGTTACCAAGAAGTTCACCAACAACTTCTTTATAACATTTGCTTTAATTTCTTTTCCCTTCTTTAAATTCTATATTACTTGGGTCTTTTCCTAACTCACAAAAAACACTATGTAGCCTACATAGGGTCCTTTCTTTTCTGCTCACCACCTCAATATTAATTTCTAAATCATTCTTTTTGGACTTCTTTATCTAAAATTTATTTCCTGAACTATCTCAATCACTTCCAAAACTTAAATACAGAGAAAACTTCCAACTGCTGCCTTTCTGGATCTACCCCCATGTGCAGGCTCATGCCACACTTACCATGGTCTAGCCCAAGTTAATGACTGAGCATAGCAGAGATGCTGTAGTAAGCCATTTCCTGCAAGACACAGGTAACTGTGGGCGATTTTGGCTTGAGATCTTACCATTTACTTGGCTAAAATATTCTTAGAACTACATCTGTGCTCTGAAACTGTCTCCTTCATTCTCTTTCATTCTAACCTTCTTCTTCACGGGAGGACTCAGACCTGCACTGTGGTCTGATGTTCTCCTCACTTCTTGTTTCTTTCTTCCCCCAATAAATCTCTTATACATCTAATCCTATCCTGGCTTCTGCTTCTTGGATGATCCAAGTTAAGGCAAGCAATACAAGGAACAGTCCAAGAAGGTGAGTGGTGCAAGATGGGAATGTGGGACCAGGTGCAACAGTGTACGCCTGTAAATCCCAGCTACCTGGGAGGCTGAGGTGGGAGAATTGTGAATTCAAGTCCACCCCAGGCAAAATAGCGAAAACTTTGTCTCCAAAATAAAATAAATAATAATAACCATGTTTAAAAAGATGGAGATTTGGGGTAGCTCTCACTTAGTGTGTGACGACACCATGCTAAATGGAAGATGGGTCACAAATACAAATGATGAGGTTTATTATGAACACCTGCTTTACTTCTGGGAGTCTGGACTCTTGGTATCCCTTAGTAAAACCCTGGGCACTGAGTCTAGTGAGCTCTCACATATTGTCACAACTTATTGCTGGAGGAATTAAATGCGTCCTATGTGACTCCACTGGGAAAGGAATCTTGGAAGTTTATGCATGGTTTCCCCTGGAATTTACCCCATCTACCTTTTCCTTTCTGCTGTAGTAAGTTATAGCCATGAAAGTAACAGACTATATGCTGAGTTCCGCAGGAACTCCTAGAGAATTGCTGAACCTGGGAGTGATCTTTGGGACCCCAGTACGGGGTCAGAGCTACATTAGGACTGCAGTCTAACAGCTGTCTCTACCCTTCAGGGCTCCCCTTTTCCCCTCACAATAATCTCTCCAGAAAAATCTCTTGCTTATTAAAATCCCATCTGCTTCTCAGAGAATTTAAAATTAATGTACCAGCCGGGCTCGGTGGCTTAGCCTATAATCCCACGCCTTCGGGAGGCTGAGGTGAAGGGATTCCCTGAGCCCGCGGGGTTCGAGATCCGCCTGGGCAGGCGAGACCTCATCTTTACAATAAATCAAAAAATTAGCTGGGCATGGTAGCACGCGCCTATAATTCTGGCTACTCGGAAGGCTGAGGCGGAAGAATTGCCGGAGCCCAGCAGGTCAAGGCTGCGGTGGCCGGGAGCGGCCACTGCACTCCAATCTGGGCGACAGAGTGAGACTCCAACTCAAAATAAATAAATAAATAAAATTAATGTAGCAATGAATGTTACCAAATGAATGTTTCCTTGGAACCACATAACTAAAACTGCATTCTCTATATTGCTAAAGGAATCAGCATCAACTCAGTCATCCAAATAGAAAAGCTGTCAATCTCACCTCCAGACAACCTCCAAGTGTTTACTCACAGTTATCACTCTACACTCGCCATTCTGATTCACCTCATGTCTAGACTACTGAAGTCTTCTAACTGGATCCCACTTCTTGTTTAAAGCCCTTAGCTGACTCCTCCTATTAATTGTAGATTAGCTGAACTCAAGTGAGTGCCTCTGGTCCCCACACACTCAGCTAGTCCCACTCTCCTCTTCCAATGCACCAAACTCCAGCCACATCTAACTCCTTGCCCTTCACTGTCCATCATTACCTTTGCGTATTATATTTTCTCTGCCTAGAATACCCTTTCTTCCAGTTATCAGTCACATTAATTTCTGTTGAGCCTTGGAGCTACAGTTCAAATGGCCTTTTTTGATTGATTTTCTTCCTCTGAGCTTCCACAGCACGCTGATATAACTTGCTTTTACAGTTCTATCTCCAAGAGGAGAAACTATATTTAATTTTTATTCTAATTATTGACATATAATAGATTACTGTTAACGTGATCATTAACAAAAACAACTGAAGGTAACAGAATGTGCTAGTTTAGGAAGCTAGGGTTTGTTTACATGGTCTAGATATAAAGTCATAAAGGATGCGGCAGATAAAGTCCACTAAATAATGAAATAGTCTTTTCTTTTTTGGGGGGATGCAATATTTGCTGGCAACAGTCTTGAAAGTTCAATTATAATATACTGCATTTGCACTGAGGTAAGAAGTGGAAGTTAATTAGGCAATAAAGTATAGTTGCTATTCATAAGGTTGACAATTTATATCAGCAAGTCCAGGGGTATATATGTCGCAAAAAAGCATTAGAATGAGACTCAGCCTTCATTCTATCAGGAACCAGTTCCTGGCCCAGAAAAGGTGGTAAGGAAGTATTTTAACCTAATGTTTCAAGGAAAGATTTAAAATGTATCCTAAGTGTTAATATTTAGAGTAATTAAATGAATTAAATCATTAATGAGTTCTAATAAGAGACGGGATTAAATGTATGCTGTACTTAGAGTGATGAGACCTTGGAAAAACTCACAGTACAGATACTACAAGCTGTTGGGGGAGAGGGAAGAATGACATATACACATCAGAGAATATATTTATAAAGAAAAAAAATCTATTCTAACCTTCAAGTTTGTTTCATAAAAATCACAATAAAACATGGCCATTTTGGAACATTCTTTTTTTAAGAAAGGAATTTATTAAGAAGACAGGAAAGTTCCCAGCAGCAGGAGGGGTCCAGAAGGGTTGCTCCAAATGTGAATATTCTTAAATCACAAACTTTTTTTTTGAGTTGGAATCTCACTCTGTTGCCCAGGCAGGAGTGCAGTAGCACAATCATTGCTACTGTGGCCTCAACATTCTGGGCTCAGGTGATCCTTTAGCCTCAGTATCCCAAGTAGCTGGGACTAAGGCACACACCACCATACCCTGCTAATTTTTTGAGTTTTTGTTGAGATAGGGTCTTACCAAGTTGCCCAAGCTGGTCTCAAGTCCCTGGGCTCAGGCATGAGCCACCATGCTCAGCTCAAACATTTAAAATTGCTTAAAAATGAATAATTCAATGATTACCTGGAGATACCCCTAGCTTGTTGCTCTGTTAAGCCAAGTTCTTCACTGGAAACTCCACCTTTAGTTATAAGGTCATCAACAATGTCTGCAATGTCAGTCAATCCAGTCATCTGGAGTGGATCTACTGAAGAACTTCATTTGCAAATGCAATTTGAGAAATATAAATCAGTATCTGAACTTATTACATTAAGCAACAATGAACATAAAATGATAAGCATGTATCTATTGCTCCTTCTATTTCTATAATTCTAGTATCTCTCAGTGGAAAAGCCTAACCATCAACAATTGATGACTTAGTAGATTTTCTTTAAAAAGTAAACATAAGGCCCAGAAGAAAACCTCTATGGGTTCTGCCTCCTGAAATTTAACATAATTAGTAAAAGAAAATATAGCAAATATAGTCTATTGTATTCTAATTACTTGTGCTAAAACAGTAAGGAATTTAATATAACAATCCTCAATATCCTTTTTTTTGTTTTTTGTTTTTGTTTCTTTGAGTTGGAGTCTCACTCTGTCACCCAGACTGGAGTGCAGTGGCCGCTCCCGGCCACCACAGCCTCGACCTGCTGGGCTCCAGCGATCCTTCCTCCTCAGCCTTATAAGCAGCTGGAACTACAGGCGCGCTACCACACCCGGCTAATTTTTTATTTATTGTAGAGGTGAGGGCTCACCAAGTGGTCCAGGCGGGTCTCAAACCCGCGGGCTCAGGCAATTCACTCATCTTGGCCTCCCAAAGCGCGGGATTACAGGCTGAGCTACCAAGTCTGGTTATTCCTCAATCTTAAAACATTCCATTCCCGGTGAGAATTTGCAATATTTCTTTTTGAATTGGAATCTCATTCTGTTGCCCAGACTGGAGCGCAGTGGCACACTCCCGGCCACCGCAGCCTCGACCTGCTGGGCTCCAGCAATCCTTCCGGCTCAGCCTTCCAAGTAGCCAGAACTACAGGCGTGTGCTACTATGCCTGGCTAATTTTTGATTTATTGTAGAGACGAGGTCTCACCAAGTTGCCTGGGTAGGTCTCGAACCCGCAGGCTCAGGCAATCTACTCACCTTGGTTTTCCAAAGTTCTGGGATTACAGGCTAAGCCATCGAGCCTGGCCTGCAATATTTCTTTAAACCATGAAAATATCTATTGTGTAAAAGTTCACAGATATAAACAACAAAATTTCCAGGATATAAATTTACATCCACACTTTAAGAAAAATTGTGTTAACTCTTAAGATACTTACCTCTCAAACAGTTCATCACTGTTATTCAAACCTTAAAAAAAACACATTATTAATAACAATTTCACACACCTCATCAACAAGGGTACCTGCATAATGAACATTTGTATTGTACCCCACATGTACCTTAAATTGTACCCCACATGTTTAAAAAATAAAATAAAAATTTCATCAGTTTTTTTAAACTTTCAGTTATTAACCTGGTTTAGAAATTATATAACCAGAAGTTTAAAAATATACACACAGCCAGGATTGGTGGCTCAGCCTGTAATCCCACGCCTTTGGGAGGCTGAGGTGAGTGGACTGCCTGAGCCCGCGGGTTCGAGATCCACTTGGGCAAATTGGTGAGACCTCATCTCTACAATAAATCAAAAAAAAAAAAATTAGCCGGGCATGGTAGCGCGCACCTGTAGTTCCGGCTACTTGAAAGGCTGAGGCAGAAGGATCGCTGGAGCCCAGCAGGTCAAGGCTGCAGTGGCCGGGAGCAGCCACTGCACTCCAGTCTGGGCGACAGAACAAGACTCCAACTCAAAAAAAAAAAAAAATCACACACACCAGAGTGTAAAAAAATGTATACACATTTTAAGAAATGTTCACTGTAATTAGAAGTGTGAGGACATTGATGGTAACCACTTTGAGCATCTCTTGTAATTGCATAAGCCAAACATGACTTGCATTCATCTTACTGAGCATTACAATTTTAATATAGTTTTTTGCTTTCTTAAAATGTATATACACTTTTTTGGCAGTGTGTGTGTGTGTGTGTGTGTGTGTGTGTGTGTGTGTGTGTTTGAGAGTTAGAATCTCACTCTGTCACCCAGGCTGAAGTGCAGTTGTACATTCATGGCTACTGCAGCCTCTACCTGCTGGGCTCAGGCGATCCTTCCGCCTCAGCCTTCCAAGTAGCTGGAACTATAGGCACATGCCACTATGCCCGGCTAATTTTTTGATTTACTGTAGAGATGAGGTCTTGCCATGTTGCTTATGCCAGTCTTGAACTCCCGGGTTCGGGCAATCCTCCCTCCGCCTTCCAAGGTGCTGGGATTACAGGCATGAGCCACTGCACCCAGCCAGAAATTAAAATATTTTTAAACCTCCCAACTGGTTTAAAACATATGTGTTTAAGTCAACAGAGCATATTTATCCTCCTATAGAATATGCATTTGGTAGTGAATATTGTCTACATTTTCTATCCCAAGTACTCTGTATAGTATACCTCAGGAAGTCCAACTCTGCTGAGTACACAGTTTAGAGTACTGGAGTGCAATTTACTTTATAAAAAACAAAAGAATCAAACAAAAAACATCTCTGGTGATCTAAAAGTAATACATTTTTTAAAAATCTAATTTAAATCAAAGAAGCAATTTACGTTTAAGAATATGACCCAGCAGGGCTCGGTGGCTCAGCCTGTAATCCCGCGCTTTGGGAGGTTGAGGTGAGTGGATTGCCTGAGCCCGCAGGTTCAAGACTCGCCTGGGCAACTTGGCGAGACCTCATCTCTACAATAAATCAAAAAATTAGCCGGGCGTGGTAGTGCGCGCCTGTAGTTCCAGCTACTTGTAAGGCTGAGGAGGAAGGATCGCCGGAGCCCAGCAGGTCAAGGTTGCAGTGGCCGGGAGCGGCCACTGCGCTCCAGTCTGAGAGACAGAGTGAGACTCCAACTCAAAAAAAAGAATATGACCCAAAGAATGATTTTTAGCCTTGTCCAATATTAACTACATGTCTTTGAAGCAAAACACTTAATCTATTCAATCTTCTATATGTTTAACTCTTAAAGATAACTGAGTTGACATAAGAGAGAAATACTGACATATCTTTTTTTTTTTTTTTTTTTTTTTGAGTAAACGACACTATGTACTTGGAAAACAGAGGCTCCATTTCTTATCAGCGTTTGAGTGATCACTGAAGAAAGTTTGAAGAATTCTTTTCCATTACTGCCTCGGCTGCATAGGGAGATGTAGGTAAGATAGTCAAAGATGGTGACCCAGTCATCAAAGGCAGGTAAGTTGTCCTTCCTTCTGCTATTAACGACCCATAGCCACTAGACAATAGCCAAAGTACCTACAAACCTGGGCAAACTTTGTCAAATCTGGACAAGCTTAATACTCCTCAATCACTATTACTAAGAGAGAACACTGTTTGGCAAAATTCTAGAGCACTTTGATAACAAATGCAATTTAACTAAATACCTTTGTATTTAAAGATAAACTGTCTTTACAAGACAGAATTTAACGCCTTTGGTCCCTGACAAATATCTTCCTCATTTCAGTTACTGTTACAAAAAGCTTCAACTACTGAAAGAAAAAAACAAAAAAATGATAATGGTAAAAATACAGATTAATCAGATATAAAATGTGTGAACTAAGAAATTAAACTACTTTATTTCATCAAAGTACAGAAAAATGTTGTATCCAAATAAATATCTTTAAAAGTAGTTCCATAGGGAGATTCTATCATTACTTCATTTTCAAACTATTTTTGAAACTCTTTCCTTAGGGACTGCCTTCATAGATAATTTGTTACATACAATCAATCAGCTTTTTTCCTAGATAACCACAATTTCTTATTTTTAATTCCAAACAGTGCCATTCAGCCTAATCATCTACATCATTTGTCCAAAGTTCCTTTGAAAAACCTACGACCCTTAGCAAAAATCAAATCCATTCTCAGTGAACAAATTATTTGCCACTATTAAGAACACTAAGAAGAACGTCCTAAGAAATGGAGACGCTAACTTCAAAAGAGGAAATCTAAGCTATTTTTAATCATTAAAGCAAGAAAATGACAACACATCTTTCCAAGATGCCATCTTTGGTGAAAACACCCATTAAGGCATCTAAATTCTACACTCTATCAAAAAATAATAATAAAATTTCTTTCTAAATTTTTTTTTGAGTTGGAGTCTCACTCTGTCACCCAGGCTAGAGTGCAGTGGAACATTCATAGCCACCCCAGTGTCAACCTGCTGGGCTCTGACAATCCTTCCACCTCAGCCTTCCAAATAGCTAGAACCACGCCCAGCTAATTTTTTTTATTTATTGTAGAGACAAGGTCTGGCCAAGTTGCCAGGGCTAGTCTCAAACCCGCGGGCTCAGACAATCCACTCACCTCGGCCTCTCAAAGTGCCAGGATTACAGGCTGAGCCATCCAGCCCGGCCTCTTTCTAAATTTATAATCATACATTGAATACTACAGAAAAACATTTTAATTTATGAATCTTTACGTGTGTTATGCCATTTACTGACATCTCTCCTTCTTTTCTCTTGTATCCTAAAAAGCTAGTACAACAGGGCATGGTGGCTCACACCTGTATCCCAGCAACTTGGGAGGCTGAGGTAGGAAGACTGCTTGAGACCAGGAGTTCAAGAATAGCCTGGGCAACATAGTGAGATCCCATCTCTAAAAAATAAGAATAAAAATAAATTAGCCAGGCATCACTGTGCTTGTAGTCACAGCTACTGAGAGGCTCACCCAAGGTCTACTTACTTGTCTAAAACTGTATCCTAAACAAGGTCACTTATCTGTCTTAGCGTTACCATAAACTTTTAACACTTGGTCTCAAAATGCTCTGGGGTTTGACGTTAGAGCTAGTTATAACCTTGACACTCTGGCAGTACTAAACAGTCACTCACTATCTCCCTTGTCTTCTCTTTAATCCACTTAGTCACTGAGTACCAAGTATTCAGAATGTCTCATTTCTTCTTTTCTTTGCCCATAACACTACACAGGCCCTCATTAATTCATACATCAGATTGATTTAATAGCTTACTAACTGGTCTATGCCTCCATTCAATTCTTCCTCAAAATCTCCTCATTTTACCTCTTTGCTTCGAATTCTCCAGTGATTCCCAAGTATGAAATAGGGTCTAAACTTCTCAGATGCAATTGGAACCCTCTACAGCCTAGCCTCATGAGTCCTGTTTAACCTCATTTGTCAATCTTCCCTCAAAAGAGGAAAGAGGAAAGCTACGTGACCAAGAAATTACAGGAACTTAACAGATTCTCAGCTAGAGCCTTACATATGACACTCAATCTTCACAACTTTGTGAAGTGGAGATGATTATCTCCATATGCTGATGACTAAAATACACATGGAATCTAGAACAAACTTTAAGAAAATAATTACAAGATTTAAAGTCAGCTTCTTTTTTTATTTTTATTTTTTGAGTTGAAGTCTCACTCTGTTGCTCAGGTTGGATTAAAGTGGCATGCTCATGGTTACCACAGACTCAACCTACTGGGTTCAGGTGATCTTTCTGTCCTATCCTTCCAAGTAGCTGGAACTACAGGCGCATCCACCATGCCCAGATTATTTTTTGTTTTATTGTAGAGACAAGGTCTCGCCAAGTTGCCCATGTTGGCCTCAAATCCCTGGGATCAGGCAATCCTCTCGCCTCAGCCTCCCAAAGTGCCGGGATTATAGACATGAGCTACCACATCCAGTCCTAATGTCAGCTTTTGTATTATTTAAATATCAGCAATGCCATTTAAGACAGCATTTTTACTGCATGTACTACTTTAATAATAGTAATAAAACATATAGCTAACACTCAGTAAAATAATTTTTATTGACCATCTATATCTGAGAGCAAATTTATATATTTCCAGGCCATTGTCAGCAAATGAACTGATGTATTTACTCTCTGCCCTACTGTTAGGACTAAAGAATAGCAGTTTTAGTTACTACCTCCTAATTAAATGGAACAAGTGGCATTAAACTTTTCTAAGTCTCTATATCCTCAACTGCAAAATGGGGATAATAATAGTATGTACCTCACAGATTAGATTTTTTTTTTTTGCACTGGAGTCTCACTCTGTCACACGCTCCCGGCCACAGCATCCTCAACCTGCTGGACTCCGGCGATCCCTCCGCCTCAGCCTTCCAAGTAGCTGAAACTACAGGCGTGCGCTACCACGTCCAGCTAATTTTTTTGATTCATTGTAGAGATGAGGTCTTCCCAAGTTGCCCAGGCGGGTCTCAAACCCGCAGGCTCAGGCAATTCACTCACCTTGGCCTCCCAAGGCACGGGATTACAGGCTGAGTCACCGAGCCCGGCCACAGACTAGATTTAAACCAGGGTCCATACATGTAAAACAGTGATGTCTGACACATGGTAGAGACTTGATTAATGACAGCCATTATTTTGTCTGCAAATTAAACCTTGAAGATATCATAATTGGAAGAATTTGAAATTCTCAATTTTTTTACAAATCAAGTATTATAGCTATTGCCATATATTTAATATTAATAAGTTACACAGAGAAGATACATGGTTGCTTTATGTCTTGGGAAGGTGACATGATATCATAATTTTTCATGTAAATGGTGTAAGTTTTAACTTTTCTTCCCCTGAACAATAAATATTACAAAATTACTTCACAAAACTCTCACAACTATAGTTCCACTGAATAATGTTCAGTAACATTACAATGGAAAATAAGAGTATCTGTAAATGAAAAAATAAAGAACAATACCAGGAGAAGTAGTATTCTGGTCACTGGAAAGGCTGACAGCTGAACTGGCAGGAAACACATAGGTTTTCTGGCTAGAATGATTTTCTATTACTGAAAATTCAGCTTCTGAAGTCTCTTCTTTGTCACTTTGATCTTCCTCATCCATGTGAGTCAAAAAATGCACTAATCCAGAGTACACATTACAATGAAAAGAAAACAGTAGGGAAAAAAGATCAAATGGAAAAGATAGAACAATTGTCAACATTTCCACATAGCAACACAAATATATTAGAATTTTGTAACACGTTACTCTAATAGCTTTCTACTGGGTAATTAACTTAGTAAGAAATTTAAACTCAAAATTCTCCCATAGTAAAACAAAAATTATGTGTCCCACATCTTTAAAATAACTTTTGGACAACTTCCTCGGGTCCTCTCCCACTATGTAGCTTTTCTGTCCTCTCAATAAATCCTGCTCTAAAAAATAAATAAATAGGCCAGGCTTGGTGGCTCAGCCTATAATTCCAGCACTTTGGGAGGCCGAGGCGAGTGGACTGCCTGAGCCCACAGGTTTGAGACCCGCCCAGGCAACTTGGCGAGACCTCGTCTCTACAATAAATCAAAAATTAGCCGGGTGTGGTAGCACGTGCCTATAGTTCCAGCTACTTGGAAGGCTGAGGCGGAAGGATCGCTGGAGCCCAGCAAGATGAGTTTGTGGTGGCGGTAAGCATGCCACTCCACTTCAGTCTGGGTAACAGAGTGAGATTCCAACTCAAAAAATGAATTAATTAAATAAATAAATAAATAAAATAAAATAAATTAAATTTATTATCAACTTTGTAAAACATGGCAGATCGAGCTAACATACACAGGCCCATGCCCTGCCATTAAAAAAAACAAAAAACAAAAAACAGTAATGGTAAATTACAAAAAAACTCTTCAATACTCAACCAAGTCTTCTAAACAAAAAAATCTGCTAGTGCCAAAAAAGAAAACAGAGCTCAAAGCTGTAACAGCAAAGTGGGCAATGATGCTGAGATAGCCTACTGAGGAGTAAGAGATGTGGTTTCTGTTGACTGAGGTGAAGGAAACTGAGTTACCTTCATACTGCCTAGAACTTTAAAGGAAAATTATGCCCATAAAATGAGGATAAGAAAATCCCTGCCCTAGAGAAATAGCAAAGACATTTTCAATCAGTCTGGACAGTAGGGAAGAGAAAAATAAAAGTCAACTTTGAGAAATCAAAACCCATGGCCTGCTACAAGCAGACGTAGGGTCTGAATTTATACCACCTATATAACAGAGCAAATCCAAGCCAAAAATTTATATCTTCCTTTTTTTTTTCTACTCCAATGACAGCAAGATGCAAATGCAAAATCACTCCAAAGACAAGCACATATAACCTACCAGACCCTCCACGAAAGGTAGGCCCATGATAAAAAATTACAAATCACAAACAAAAAAGGAATAACCAACCACGAAAGAGAGTAAGAATACAGATTCAACAACTGAGACTGTACACACATGAAATAAAGCAATCTGAAAAGGTGAGTCATAAAATTTGAGTAAAATTACTAAATAGATTTCAAAAAGCATATAAACCGCAATTAAAGAACAAGAATAGGCATCCCAAAGAACAGATATATTTGAAAAGGAAATAAAGAGAACTCTAGATATTAAAAATGTAGCCTCCCCAATGAAAATCATAAAGAATAGGTGAAACAAAAAAGAAGACATAGCAGAAAAGAGAATTACTAAACCAGAAGACAGATCTGAAGGAATCATCCTGAATATGCTACTGAAAGATTAAGACATGGAAATTATGAGGCGTGGTTTAAAGAGATAGGAAATAAAGTGAGAAGGTCCCATATACCTATGACAGGTGCTTTAGAAGAGTGAAAAGGAAGCAATACTCCAAAAGATTATGGGTAAAAAATTCCCAAAGTTAAATCTTCAAACTGAAGGATAATTCCTACTCCAATAAAAGATAAAGAAAAACACACCTAGACACGCTCTGCCAAAAAAGCAAAATAAATTAAAAATAAAGAAAATTTTTAAGCAGAGATAAAAGAACAGCAATTAGAATGACAACACATAGATACTGTAAACTCAGCAATTAGAGATGTCAGTAGTCAATGGAATAATTTAATTAAAATGCTAAGAGAAAATAATGATCAGCCTAGAAGTCTGTACTCAGTTGTAAGCTATCACTCAAGAAATACAATAGAATTAAAGCTATTTTCAAAGACTGGGAGAATTTATCACTTACAGATGCTAGATGAAAGAACTAATAAAGGATGAAGGAAACAAAATCTATAAAGAAGAAGTGATTGCATGAAGCAACTGTGCACAACAATAGCAGAACATGGAAAATGTTGGAGTCCATCTCAGGCATAAGGGGTGTTATTTCATGAAACTTAGTGTTTTACACATTTGTTGCTTACATATGTATATTATTTAAATTATAAATTTAAAAATAAAGTATTGTGGGCAAAGAAACTAACAAACATGTTGATGAATTCTAAATAAGCAATGACTTAAAAAATAAAATACAGGGAGACTAAATGGGAGGGTTTAAAACAGGGTAGATCCAAAATATTAGAAAGTAGTATCAGAGAAGACAGAGGGAACAATCAATGCTAAAATTCTGCTCTAAAATCTTTACATTTTGGGGGAGGTAGATATATTCACCTTAAATTGTTAAAAATTTATTATTTTTTTAAGAGATGAGGTCTATTACGTTGCCTAGGCTGAAGCGCAATTTATACAGGTGCAATCATAGCAAATGCACTACAGCTTCCTTCAAACTCCAGGCTCAATTGATCCTTCTGCCTCTGCCTCCCAAGTAGATAGGACTACAAGCATGAGCCACTGTACCTGGCTTCACCTTAAATCTTAACTATGAATGCTGAAAATTCAAGAACAACCACTAAACAACTACAAATAGAATGCATAATTTCTAAACCAGGCTGGGTGTGAGGGGTCATGCCTGTAATCCTAGCACTTTGGAAGACTGAGGTGAGAGGACTGCTTGAGCCCAGGAGTTAGAGACCAGCCTGGGCAATATACAAGACCTTGTCTCTACAAAAAATGAAAAAACTAGCTGGGCATGGTGGCGCACACCTTAAGTCCCAGCTACACAGGAGGCTGAGGCAGAAGGATTACATGAGCTCAGAAGGTCAAGGCTGCAGTGAACTATGATGTGCCACTATACTCCAGCCTGGGCAACAAAGTGAGAGCACCACTTTAAAAAAAAAAAAAAAAAAAAAAAAAGGAAATAAGAAAAATCTGGCCGGGCTCGGTGGCTCAGCCTGTAATCCCACGCCTTTGGGAGGCTGAGGTGAGTGGATTGCCTGAGCCCGCGGGTTCGAGACCCAACTGGGCAACTTGGTGAGACCTCATCTCTACAATAAATCAAAAATTAGCCAGGCGTGGCAGCGCACGCCTGTAGTTCCAGCTACTTGGAAGGCTGAGGGGGAAGGATCGCCAGCTTCCAGCAGGCGAGGCTGTAGTGGCTGGGAGCGGCCACTGCACTCCAGTCTGGGTGACAGAGTGAGACTCCAACTCAAAAAAAAAAAAAAAGAAAAGAAAAATCTGAACCAATAGAAGGAGAAAAAGAGAATATAGAAAACTCAATCTGCCAGGTGTGGTGGCTCACACCTGTAATCCCAGTACTTTGGGAGGCAGGGGCAAGAGGACTGCTTGAGCTCAGGGGTTCGAGACTGGCCTGGCCAACTTGGCAAGACCTTGTCTCTACAATAAATCAAAAAGTTATCCAGGTGTGGTGGTGCACGCCTGTAGTTGTAGCTGTTTAGAAGGCTGAGGTGGAAGGATCACCTGAGCCCAGCAGGTCAAGGCTGTGGTGGCCAGAAGCATGCCACTGCACTCCCACATAGACAACAGAGTGAGACATGCTAGATACATGAAAGTTAATTATACTATTCTGTCTTCTACTAAAATATGTTAGGTGTTTTCCATGATAAAAATTTTAAAAAAAGATATAACACAAGGGTAGTAATGTTAACAGTAGACAAAACTGGCTATAAGTAAAAATACATCATTGGGGATAAAGAAAGTCATTACTTAATGACATAAGGGACAAAAACAATCAAAAAAAATCCCAAATTACATTTATCTTATAGCCTTAAGTATAAACAGTTAAATTTAATAGATTTATAAGAAGAAATAAACAATTCTGTAATCATTATGGGCAATTTTTAAGGCACCCTTCTGAGAAAAGAATAGATCAAGCAGACTAAAGAATCAGAAAGAGTACAGAAAATCTGGACAATATAATTTAAAAGCTTGACTAAATGGAGATATCTAAATATACATACCCTATATTCAATCAACAGAAAATGTAGAAAATTCAAATGTAGAACATATATAAAAACCTCCAAGATCAATGTACCAGCAGAAAAACAAACAGATGGACAATATATAGTCTGCCACAAAGGAAATTTTAAAAAATATCTAATAATCGATATCATCATACACATCATCTAATACAACGAAAATAGAAATCAATTTAAAAAATTAGCCCAAACCTCTGAATATTTAGAAGCTAAAAACTCCTTTTTTGAGCTATAGAAATCATAATACAAATTACAAACTACAAAGACCTGAACAACACCAAAGTATGATACATATCAACACTCTTATCTAGGTCTACGCAGGAAAATGTTCAGCCTCCAGTGTATATATTAGAAAATAAGAAAGAATGAAGTTAGGAAAAAACCAACAAGTTAAACTCCTTAAAACAGAAGAAATAATAGTAATATTAGTGACAAGGAAAATTAAGAAACAACAGAGACTCAATAAACCAAAGTCTGATTTTTTGAAAAGACTAAACTGCTGACAAAACTGAATGAGAGAGATACAGTAGAAAGGTAAAACGTAACTCTTTTAATTTTATTCTTTCAATAAGAAATGAAAAAAATGTAATAATTCACCACAGCCTCAAATTCTAGTTCAGCTGATGACCACAGACAAACAGCAGTCTCAGCATAAAGCTCTGTGCAATCCCCAGCAGTATGTGGTTCATGGCTTGGAATCCACAGAAACTAAGATCCAGGCACAATGCCCCATTCTGGTATAAAAGCCAGAGGTGGGTTACTGGATTCTTAGAAAAAAATGACTTTGGGGTGGGAACCAATCACATTACAAAAACCATCTTCATCTAAAAATTGGGGAGGTAACGAACACAGCTCACATATGAAAACTATTCCTACTTCTGGCACTCCAAAAAGCAATGCTTATTCTATTAGGTCAACCAAAGTAAGGCTTCTGTCCCAATACCCAAAAGCCCCCACAAACCTTCTTCAGAAATGTTCATGGTTTTTGAAGCAATTTCAGGGCCAGAAGGCAATTCAATGTGATCCACTGGTCCAACCTGTAGAAAAAACGCACACAACAAAACAACGCAATAAATTTTATACTTTGATAATTTCAAAATGTTATAAACAATTTTGGGTAAGTTTTAAACATGTGCATTAACACAACAAATGAAAGAAATGGGATTAAATCCAGTATAAACTAATGGTAAGAATGAATAAAAAAGAAATTTTTACTTATTTGTAGCTTAATTGATTTAACCATTTAGAAGGCACAGGAAAACAGCATAAGATTTTAGAAAGGAGAAGAACCTTATTTACCACCTAGATAAAATCTTTCTTATTAAAAATGATGGGCCAGGTGAGGTGGCTCAAGTCTGTAATCCCAGCATTTTGGGAGGCAGAGGTGAGAGGATTGCCTGAGCCCAGGGTTTGAGACCAGCCTGGGCAACTTGGCGAGACCTTGCCTCTGCAATAATTCAGAAAATTAGCAGGACGTGGAGGAACGCAACTGTAGTTCCAGCTACTTGGAAGGCTGAGGTGGAAGGATCACCTGGGCCCAGCAGGTCGAGACTGCAGTAGCTGTGAGCATGCCACTGCACTCCAGCCTGGGCAACAGTGAGACTCTGACTCAAAAAAAAGAAAAAAAAATGATGGAATGAGGCCCAGAGAGATTCACTCATTTTCTCAGTGGTATAACTAACATGGTCAACCCAGGTCCTCAAGGCTCCTAATCAGTGTTTGTCCACAGGATCCCTCTGCCTCTTCGAGGCCTACAAGTTGTTTCCTTAACTTAGGCAAATGAAAATGTTTATATTTTATAATAGGTTAAGAACATATTTAAAAGATATGCCAAACCTGTTAGGCTGAAAAGAGGCCATTTTGGTTATATTAGAACAGTTATTTATAAAAGACTTAAAAACTTGTACTCTTTTGTAGCTGAGTTGAGTTAAAAATAAAAGCTGAAAAAGTGTACATTTTCCATATTTGTGTCCTTCCCCACTACTACTCTCCAAGCACAGCCTTGCCCAACTGGCCAATCTCATCTAGTAAGCCATTGCTGGTGCTGAAGAAGAAACAGCCAGCAAGCACGTCCACCTAATGATGAGGAGAGTGGACCAAGTTCGACAGAAATGTGTCTGAAAGCCTGGAGTGGGCACTGCCCACTTCTCCTCCATCTGTGAATACAAGGACATCGGACTGTTATAGGCCAGGGCTCTGAGAATAAAAGATTGTTATAATTATGCATTCCCTTCAATCCAAATATTGCAATTGTCTGTCCCTTCCTCTAAAAAAAAATGTAAAAGAACATACTATAAATTCCAAATGTTATCTAAAATGTCAATATGACCAGGAGACTTTGTCACGTCAGTGGTTGAGTATCAAAAATGATTAATGTAAAGCTTGAGACATGCTAAAACTGCATGTAGACTTCAAACTCAGATGGGGGAAGAGCTATGAATTTTGGATATAAATACTGGAATGTGTTGTTTTGAGCGAGCTTTTTGACCTGTCTCCCTATAACCTGGTTATAGAAATTAAATATTTGGTGACTCCCTTTTCTCCCAGTCTCTGCGTCTCATATTTCATGAGGGATAGCAGCTCAATGATTGGATTGGGCCGTAACACTATCCCTTAAATTAATGTTATTTCCTAGGCACAGCCCTGTAATCCCAGCACTTTGGGAGGCTAAGGAGGGAGGAATGCTTGAGCCCAGGAGTTCAAGACCAACCTAGGCAACACAGCAAGACCTTGTCTCTACAAAAATTTAAAAAATTAGTTAAGCATAGTGGCACATGCCTGTAGTCTCAGCTACTTTAAGGCAAAAGAATCACCTGAGTCCAGGAGGTCTAGGCTGTGGTAAGCCATGATCATGCTCCTGTACTCCAGCCTGGGTGACAGAGTGAGACTCTCTAAAAAAAAAAAAAAAGAGGAATACTATTTCCTTCAAAATTGTCATCTTGAAAGACTCTCCCTTATCCCCAGAGGATTTATTCCAAGACTCCCAGTAGACGGCCAAAATGGTAGATAATACCAAACTCTATATAGTCATCTCTTAGTATCCATGGGGGAAGAGTTTGCTGCCTTACTGACAACAAAATCCATAGATCCTCAAGTTCCTTAGATAAAATGGTGTAGTATAGGCACATCCTCCCATATAATTTATTTTAAAACTTTTTTGAAAGCCCATACTTCACTTGTATACAGTCTACTTAAATCCTTACTTGTACCCCACAACTCTATAACAAATAAATAATTTTTAAAAAACGAAGCCCAAGTAGCAAGAAACTGCCAGGAGGGGGGCAGGGAACCAGGACTGGAGGTAGTGGGAGTCTGCCTGAGGAAGCGGGAACACACCTCATCAACAAGTATATCTGCATAATGAACATTTGTATACCTAACCTTGAATTGTACCCCACCTCTTTAAATACAAAATTTAAAGTTAACAAAAGAAGTCAAACTCAAAAAAATGCAAAATATTATTTTTTTAAAAAAACCTTTTTTGAATGATTTTTTTTTCAAGTTTTTTTTTCCCTACAGAATTTTTTTTTTTAATTATTCTACTCTTTGTACCTTGTATGGGAACACTATATTTAATATATTAAATCTAAGAGAAAAAGGTAATTCACTAACCAAATGAAACATCCACATTTCTTCATTTAAAATGTGAAAGTCCTCTAACTGTAGATACCATCAGATGGACTAGATAGTTATACTGGGCCCCTATAAAGATCAGAGTTTTGCCTACTGGAAAAGTTTCTTCTTGCCAGAACTGGTTTCCCTGAAAGCTCAGTAGCTTCTGGAGCTAATTTACCACATTGCTCGCTGGACCCCAGAAAGTTGCCCATGGTCAGCTAAGTTCAGAAGACAACACATACTAAGCTTCCAGAGCTGCTTTACACCACATGCATGGGACAGCATAACACTGATTTTTTTCTTTTTTAATTTTAAAGATGTGGGATACAATTCTGGGTTAGGGATACAAATGCTCATTATACAGGTACCCTTGCTGATGAGTTTCCCCTCCCTGGCAGTTTTCCACTATTGCCAATACCACTTCCCTCCCGCTCCCTGGCAGTTTCCCACTACTGCCAATCCTTTTCTTATAGTATTATGATAAGTGTTCAAGATCTGCTTAACAGTGAGAACATGTGATACTCAGTTCTTTGTTTCTGTGATAGATCACTCAGTATTATAGACTCTAAGTCCATCCAAGTTGCTGTGAACTTCATTATTTTGTCCTTTTTTGTGGCAGCATATTCCATTGTGTATATGTACCACATTTTTTTTAATCCAGTCCTCTTTCGATGGGCAGCACAATTGGTATGTTTTTGCTATTGTAAAGAATGCTGCAATAAACATGCATGTGCAGGTATCTTTTTTATAGAGTGAATGGAGTTCCTCCGAGTATATTCCCAGTAGGGGGATCGTGAGGTTGTATGGAAGGTCGATTTTCAGATCTTTTAGGAATCGCCACACTTTTCCACAGAGGCTATACTAGTTTACACTTCCACTGACAGTGTAGAAGTGTTCCCTTTTAGCTGCATCCTCTCCAGCATCTCTTGTTTTTTTAGTTATTGACGATGGCTCTCCTGACTGGATTAGGTGGTATCTCAGAACACACGGATCTCTGTCTCTAACAGGACAGCTATCCTGGGGAAGCTACTTCTTGAAGATCTGGCAAAAACTGATATATAGATCTCATTTGCATATCCACAGGCCATTTATCATCTCTTCACATCATGCAACATTCTCCAGTTTTTGTAGTAGCCTTGAACCTGGTCTCAAACTGATAAAGGAACCATCTGCTGGAGCATCTGCAGGAGCAAGCCTAGCATGGAGGCCCCCATGTTATCCACTGCAAACCCTCCAGTATTATTTTATTTTATTTTTTAAAATTTATTTTAAAGACTGGGTCTCACTCTGACGCCTAGACTGGTAGTGTAATCAGCTCAACTCCTGGACTTAAGTGATCTTCTTGCCTCAGCCTCTAGAATAGCTGGAATTACAGGTACTATAGGCATGTGCCACCATGCCTGGCTCTCACATAAACTTTAAATCATACCTAGATTACTTATAATTCCTAATACAATGTAAATGCTACATAAATAGTTGTTATATTGTTTAGGGAATATTTATAGGGAAAATAAGTCTGTACATATTTAGTACAGATCCTTTTTATTAAAAAAATAAAACAAAACAAAAATTAAACCAATCCACAGTAGGTTGCATCCAGAGACACAGAACCTATGGATACAGAGGGTCGAATGTATACTATTTTTTTCCTAAGCATACATACCCATGATAAAGTTTAATGTATAAACTAGGTACAATAATAGATTAACAACAATAACTAATATTAAAATAGAACAATTAGCCGGGCTCGGTGGCTCAGCCTGTAATCCCATGCCTTTGGGAGACTGAGATGAGTGGATTGCCTGAGCCCGCGGGTTCGAGATCCACCTGGGCAACTTGGCGAGACTTCATCTCTACAATAAATCAAAAATTAGCCGAGCGTGGTAGCACGTGCCTGTAGTTCCAGTTACTTGAAAGGCTGAGGCAGAAGGATCGTCGGAGCCCAGCAGGTCGAGGATGCGGTGGCTGGGAGCGGCCACTGCACTCCAGTCTGGGTGACAGAGTGAGACTCCAACTCAAAAAATAAAAAAAATTAAAAATAAATAAAATAGAACAATTATAACAACATACTGTAATAAAAGTTATGTGGATATGGCCTCTCTTCCTCTCCCTTTCTCTCAAAATATCTCATTATACTATATAGAGAGTAAGTGAAACCTCAGAAAGCAAAACTGCAGATGAGGGAAGACAACTGTATTAAGAATTTAGAGCAAATGTTTTTAGAACTCTTCTTTTGAAATTGTCTCCCAAGCTTGTGCCACAATTATTAAGAACTGTTCTAGTGCTAAGTCTTTATTATATACACGTGGTTTTATTACTATCAAAATCCAAAAAAAGGGAGCAAAGGCACCCATTATACAAGCATTATTCACAGCCATAAAGGACAAAATTATGAACTTTGCAGCAACTTGGATGGATTTAGAGTCTATAATACTCAATGATCTATCAAAGAAACAAAGAACTGAATACCACATGTTCTTACTCATAGACAGACACTGAACAACTATTACAATACTATTTAAAAGGGATTGGCAGTAGTGGAAAACTGCTGGGTGAGGTGGAGGGTACTTCATCAATAAGGGTACCTGATCTCAAACCAGGTGGAGTGGTGACCAAAGTGAGGCCCAAACTTTACCTGTACAGTGACAAGTACAGGAGGTCGAGGCTGCAGTGAGCCATAATTATGCCACTACACTCCAGCCTGGGCGACAGAGTGAGACCACTACTCAAAAAAAAAAAAAAGAGAGAGAGAGAGAGAGAAGGAAATGCAAACTCCTGGGCCCTGTTTCTAATTTGTATATCTACTCCTGAATTGTACCCCACATCCTTAAAATAAAAAAATTTTTAAAATAAAAACACCAAAAAACCCCAAGCATTTATTAAATACCTGCTATGCATAGCAAAAGAAAGAGTCCCTACCTTCTGGGTATAAAAAGCTTGTGTTGAGAGGAGAGTGCTATCAGAATTTTGGGGAGCTTTTTTAAAATGCCAAGCCACGTCTGCCTCGCCCACAGTTCAGAAGGGCTAGCATGCATATTTTGAAAAAGTAGAGGTAGGAGTGCTTGAGGCCAAGAGTTCAGGACCAGCCTGGGCAACATAGCAAAATCCTGTCTCTACAAAAAAAATATTTTGTAATTAGCCAGGCATGGTGGCATGTAACTGTAGTCCTAGCTACTCAAGAGGCTGAAGCAGGAGGATCGCTTAGGTCCAAGAGTTCAAGGCTACAGTGAGTTATGATTATACCACTGCACTCCAGCCTGAGCAACAGAGTGAGATCCTGCCTCAAAAAAAACAAAAACAAAAAGAAAGAAAGAAAAAAGAAAAAAAAAGAATCTGGGTGATCTTGACATGCATAACTCTCCAACCATCTAATGAACCCAGATCTGTAGAAATTCTTTCTTAAAATTCTTCTTTGGCTGGGTGCGGTGGCTCATACCTATAAACCCAGCACGTGGGGAGGTGAAGGTAAGAGAACTGCCTGAGTCCGGTGGTTCAAGATCAGCTTGGGCAACTTGGCAAGACCTCATCTCTACAATAAATCAAAAACCTAGCCAAGCATGGTAACGCATGTCTGTGGTTCTAGCTACTCGGAAGGCAGAGGCGGAAGGATGGCCTGAGCCCAGCAGGTCGAGGCTGTGGTGACCATGAGTCACGCACTGCACTCCAGCCTGGGTGACAGAGTGAGGCTCTGACTCGGAAAAAAAGAAAAGAAAAGGAACTCCTCCTCTGACTAGCTTTTTGCCTGAGTTTCTTACTACCTCAGCCTATTCTCAAACTTTGTTGCTGAATCCTCATCCTTAAAAGGCAGTGTGCTCACAGAATTCTCTTCTTTGCCCTTTTTCTCCTCACCCTGGGTGCTCTCTCTGGGTGAGTTTCTATGCAACTGTGATTTGAACTTCCTGTTAACTGATGACTCTAAAATGTATACCTTCAGCCTAGACCTAGCTCTTCTGCCCAGGAGCAGATATCCAACTGCCTACTAATCTCACAGTACCTCAAGTTTAACATGTCCCTGATAGAAATCATTGTGCCTCCTTCCCCAGCACATGCACACTTGCACATACATACACACTTCCTCTTCCTTAGTTTGGAAAATGGCTCCACCACTTACCTAGGCTTCAATCTGGATACCACTGTGAATCTCTGTTGTCTTCTTCACCTTCCCATAGCCTACTGAACCAAGCCCTGTTCTATACCCTTCCCTCCATTCCTACTGCTATAATTCAGGAATATTATTTTTTGTTGCCTTGGGTATTCAGTGGATCCCAAACACCCATCAACAGGTCTCATATGGAGCTAGCAGCGTAAGAATCATTTATGGAGTTTCTTAATAACACAGACTCCTGAGCACTACTCTAGAAATACACAAAATCAGAATTTCAAAGAAATAGTGCCCAGGAGTTTGCATTTCTTTCTCTCTCTTTTTATTAACCTATTTTTTTTTTTTGGGGTCAGGTTCACTCTGTCACCAGGCTAGAGTGCAGTGGCACAATTACAGCTCACCACAGCCTCGACTTCCAGGATTCAGGTGATCTTTCCACCTCAGTCTCCTATGTAGGGAACTACAGGCACACACCACCATGCCTGGTTAATTTTTTTATTTTTTGTAGAGACAAGGTCCACTATGTTGTCTAGGTGGGTCTCAAACTCTTGGGCTTAAGCAATCCTCCCACCTCGGCCTCCTGAAGTGTTGGAATTACAGGCGTGAGCCACTATACTCAGCTAGGAGTTTGCATTTCTAACAAGTTTCCTAATAAGCAGCCAGAATTGGAACCAATATGACCATGTGGTCTCTCTCTTTCCAGTCTTATCCTTCCAATCTACCCTCTATACTCCTGCCAGTGTGATCATATCCTTCCACTGCTTAACATTCTTCAGTGGTTTCTACTACCTGCTTATAAAATCCCAATCATGTGGCATGGCAAACAGTGCTTTCTGTCCTTTCTTGTCTGCCCCCTCTACCACCAAATGTCTTTTTTTTTTTTTTTTTTGAGTTGGAGTCTCACTCTGTCGCCCAGACTGGAGTGCAGTGGCCGCTCCCGGCCACCACAGCCTCAATCTGCTGGGCTCCAGCGATCCTTCCTCCTCAGCCTTCCGAGTAGCCGGAATTACAGGCATGCGCTACCACACCTGGCTGACACAGCGCCTCAAACACACTATGCCATGGGCACGTTTCTGATTTCGCTCACAATGTTCTGTCAGCCCTTCCTTATCCAACTGATCAATATCTACTCATTACCAGTTCAAGAGTCACCTCTACAAAGCTTTTTCTGATGCCAAAGCTTCACTTACCTATTAAGACACAACAGGACAGGCATACCTATATGTCTTCATCACACCTAGTACATATATATTTACTGGCATATACATCTACCTCCTTTTATTAGATGCTATGGTCTTTGAGAGTAGGTACTATGCCTTATTTATCTATCCTCAAATCTTAGCACAGTGCCTAATATATAGCAGATACTCAATAAACATTTGTGGATGGAATGAATGATTCATAGATTACCACGAGAATGAGCAAGCCAGGAACAAAACCAGATTCAGGTATAAATAAAGTATCTAGCTTTAGATATGCTTACTAAACAAGCTCAGAAGGTAATTTCAAAAGAGGTTCTTTGAAGTATGGAGTTTTGAGGACTAACTACTTTGACACTGAACATTTATTTGGATATAATAGATCTAAGTCTGGAATTAAAAAACAAAAAGGGCAAAACAACCAAATAAACACATAATAGCATTACTTAATAGTAGTCCTACCTCATACTCTTTCACTGTGGTCTCACATATGCTTAATCTTTTTTTTTTTTATTTTTTTTCTATTTTTTATTTTTTGAGTTGGAGTCTCACTCTGTCGCCCAGACTGGAGTGCAGTGGCCGCTCCCAGCCACCGCAGCCTTGACCTGCTGGGCTCCGGCGATCCTTCCGCCTCAGCCTTCCAAGTAGCTGGAAACTACAGGCGCGTGCTACCAC